CAAGCGCCCGGGCGCTAAATTGGCCTCAGCCCTCTGAAGTCCCTCGCGGTGGGCTCCATTGTGATGCTGCACGAATTCCGGGGGACTTCAGTGAGCCTGAGGCGTCCGCAGTGACGGGAGCAGCCTTGTAGGCGCTCAGCGTCGCGGAGGAAAGACGGGGCTGCCGACTCTGGCGCCGCCGCCGTTGTAACCCATCGGCGAGGGAGCGTGTCACCCTCGCTCGGAGCCCCTGTGACTCGGGGGCTGGAGGAGCAGTTGTACGCATGCTCAGGCAACTGTTGGGTCCGGGCGGGGTGGTCCCTCGCAGATACTATTCACGCCATGTTGGTTATAGAGTGAAATATGATGATTATATAATATGTACATGTGATCAATAGGGCACTCGGCCGTGTAAAGGTAAGTAGAATAAAGTATGCGTCACACCTTCAAGAATCTATTTGCAGGCTTGCTGAGAGTTCCCACATCCTCATTGGACCATAACTAGTGATTTGATTCATGTAAGACATACAACATATATGTAAGTAAAGGGGGCATGAGCAGGGTATGTGTCTGTATAGAAAAGAAGGTGGCCGTGAAGAGAGTTCCATTGGCAGAACTCGCAGCACCTCAGTGCGCACGGGGAGGCATCTGAGCTGCAAGCATGGCAGAGGTACGGGGCGCCGCTGTGCGGGCTGCCATCTGGTCCTTCACATGCTTTGTCATGTCGTCCTCACGCGCTCTAGTATCAGTGGCTCACCTGGCAGCTGGGATCAGCATACCAGCTGCGGCCTTTGCCTTAGGCCTTGGCACAGAACACGGCTGGCGCGCAGCAACGGCGCCGGTGCAAGGGGTGTGTGTAGTCCCTAAGTCAGAGCGCGGCTTGCGCTTCTTTTTCGGGGCTGAACTCTCCTCAGTGTCTGCTGCCTTGTGTTTCCCCTTGCGGGCCACATTGGTTGCATCCACCAGTGCTCCTGCTCCCGGACCTGTATAGGTGCTGAAGGCCGTCGTTGCAGCTATCTAAGTTGAGGAGGCTGCAGGCGCAGCTGTGGGCACGGTAGGAATGGTATGTGCGCCGCAGGAACAGCCGCGCGCGCTGCAGGATGAGTCTCTGTGGGGGTGCCACCTCATCCCGCACAATAGCAGGGAGGGAAGTCTTAGCATAGTGTGGGTGTCCCCTGCATTTGGCACATAACACCACCTCCTCCTCTCGAGCTGTGGATAGATAAGTCAGGGAACTCTGGCTAACAGACCCTTCCCGTCGAACAGAATCCGTTGCGCAAATAGAGTCCTTGTTTTTGCAAATTATCAATTGAGCAGGCCAAAAAAAAGCCCACTTTGCCGCACTTTTCACAGTATTTCTTGGCAGCAGTGTGTTTGCTTGGATTCTTGCTCTCCGTAGCTGGTAATGAACACAACCTGGGATAAGGTTGGCTGAAGTGACAAAGACATGTAGGCAGAAGGCTCATCCCTGCATTTGTTCTTGAGAGCAGAATTATGTAAGTTCAGATTGTGTCTGCCTAATGTCAATATATTTCTGGCTAAATTTTGCGGCTTACTTCAACTTGAAGTTACTTGTCTCGGAATCTTTGTAGAGCCAGCCGTCGATGTTCTGCCTTTCCTTCGGAGACCATCTGGGGTTTCCGGGGAGAATGGATTGAGTGAAGGAAGGTGCAGTGGTCAAGATGTGTTGTGATATCAAAGCTGGAACCTTGGTGATTCCGCTCTGAGCCGGGAGTTCGCGATAATCTCAACTTTGAATATATTTTACTTCCCACATCTTCCCCAACTGTTCGATTGTTTTAAATACCTACCCTTCTATATGGTGGGCCGGCTCAGTAATATTTCAGAGAATTATGGAGCCCAGGCGCATTGACGAAACTCAAAATAATAATCTGAATCATTCAATCTTAACAACACTGCTCGGCCTCGAAGTTGATGGCAGAAGAATTGTACTGGATTATAGGATTAGAGGTTTACAAAGGGGTCGACAAAGATTCTCAAGTAGGTCATCTACTGAGCTAAACTAACAGACTGTCTTAGTACGAGGGAAGGTGGTTGAATTGGGAGTTTGCGACCATGCCCGTCTGCACCTTGCTGTTAAGGACATGAGGGCAGTCCGTGCCTTGACCCTAGAGTACCCCTGTGTTTACAGCCAGGAATGCACAACGGCAGTGGTGCATGGTAGGGGGAGAATTCGGCTGATTGGACTCTACAGCGAGTGCAGCAAAGGCCTCGGAAGCGGCAACGTTGGTGGGGCGCGGAGCGAGGAGGGCAACAATGCGGCCATGCACATCAACAACGGGGCGGGCGTCTCTATCAAGGCGGTGAGTTTAACGAAAAGCAAACAGGACATCAACCACACCCGTCATTCCAATGCACGAGCTTGAAACCCAGGGCAAGGTGATCTGACAATGTCCGGCACTGCTGGTGTCCAAGCTTCTTCTCTGCCGCAGTCTTGACCTCGGCAGAGTAGCAGGGAGTGCTGCAGGTTCGAGGCCCGTGGGGATGGGAGCGCTGGCCCGTGCGTGCACCTGAACCGCAGCAAGGTTCGGGAGCTGTCCCTGCTCTTGTGTAGACACGTGTCTGGTGCGGGAGGTCTTCCAGCCGCGGGCTCTTGCGCGAGGGCATCGGGGGACTGTTCTGGACATCGTCTCGGGTTGGGTGCCGCTGTCGTCCAAGTCGCGCCTCGAGCCTCAGGGCAGCGGCACATCTTCTTGGGTGGGAACTTGCTTCTCTATGTCGTCCAAGGCGCCCTCTTCACACAATAGGGTGTCAAGTAGAAGCAGGGCCTGGTCAAAGGTTAAGGAAACAAGTCTGGTGGTGGTGGGTGGCATAAACAGCAAAAAAGTCGCGCCGCTGCATGTCGCGTCGAGCGCAGGTGCCGCGTTGACTGATGGGTTGTTGTGTTGGCTCCAGGGGTGATGCCGTGCACAACAACCCATCAGTAAACATGGCACTTGCACACGTCGCGTAAAGAGAGAGAGAGGCTTACCTTGAAGTCGAAGTGGCACACGCGAGATGACAGTTCGGATAGAGTCTGTTAATGTCACAGCATGTGATGTGACCATCAACGTGCCTGTGTCTCGACTCTTAAAGCCCAAGAAGGGCCGCGGCCCACCCATTGCCAAGTCCAACTCTACCTCTCGTCGTTATAAGTATTAAGTTTACTATCTACAATACATCCTTTTTCTTCCCTGATTTTACTGCCATTGCTGGCCTTGATACGAGCTTGGTGTGCAAAGGGCGGCGGCGACACTTGATGGCGCGCCGATGGCGCGCCGATCATGATCGGGAATTTCCGGTCGTGATGGCCCCGATGGCCGGACCAGTGACCGCAACGGTAACGGTCACTGTACCCTTCTGTTGTTTCCAGACCAAAAAAGGCAATGTTTTAAGGCTTTATTGAATGTTTAATCAAACCTCTCGGCTACCTCCAAACCCCTCCCCTTGGAGGCGCCAACTACCCCCCATGACCCCTCCAACTAGAGGACCTACGTGGGCTATGGAGGTGTTACAGATACGCATGCGTTATTACGGACAGCTCCTCCATTTTTGATCATGCCCCTTGGTTACTCTGTTCTGTAGTGTGTGGAAAAGCCCGCGTTCCTTCCGCTCGCGCCCGTCTACGACGGATTGGTGGAGATGGGCGGGGCCGCGCTCCGTGCCAGTGTACGTGCCACTGCGTACTGGGAGCGGAGAGGCGGAGACGGCAAGACGCGCCGCGGGCGCGAGACCACCTCTACCATGCACTAGCAAGTGTAAGCGACCGGGGCTAGGAAACAAACAAGGACGCGAGGGTGGGGAAAAGGACGACGCGCGTAAGTCGCGGTCGTGATAAAAAAGCCGAAAGTGGCTGTGCCGACATGGAGTCCTGCTTCTTGCCCTATCATCATGGCACCCCCAAGCCGTCGAATGCGCTAGTGGGTCAGCGGGAGTTTGTGTTGTTGGGCGTGGCTACTGCTGGCACCACCACTCCTGCAACACCGTACTTTGAGCATTTATCGCCTCATGCCACCACACCAATGCCACCATCCCTGCTCGCTGGTGCTCACTGAGCCTTCCCGTCTGAGACGCATCAGGATATCGCGCTACCGCCATCCTGTGTACTTATCGCGTCCCTGCCGCACTGCGCCGGGCGCGACCAATCATTAATCATTGGTCAACGCATTCATGGACGCGTCACTTTCTGAACAACGTGAGACTGCGCTCCGCGTCGACGACGCAACGGTCGATTCGTTGTGTGTCCAGCAGCGTTCCAATAGCGACCATTCACCGCGCGCTTCTTCCACGGCTCGCACGACACACGCTTCTACAGGCTCAGCCTCCAGCCACGGAAATTAGGGACTGGGAACACATGAACGACGTGTTGTTTGGGCTCAAACGCAAGCACATCACTTCGCTTCTCCAACGGAGGTCGTCTATCAAGGCTGCAGCAGCACAGCACAACTCCGCCGAACGTCCCGGGCCCAGCACACTTCACCATCGCCGACATTAACAACCGTGAGGCGTCCTCTCTGTCTCAGTGTTCTTCAGCAGCCTCAATTAACCCCGGTGTACTGCTCACGTCGTACTGCTCTGTATAGGGTGTAGTGGTACTTACCATGGTAGCCTGGCTCTATCGCTCAATGACTTGCACCATACGGTACGCACCATAGAAGGCTAAGCGCGTCTTCAGCACCCTGCACGAGCGCTAGACCAGACCCTTGGGACGATGCATTCCTTGAACTCAAATATGGCAGGAACTTGAAGTGACTTGCGATATAGGAATGCAGATACACGCCGAATACAAGCCAAGAAAAAGAAAAAAAAGAGAAAAAAACACGTGCGCCAGGTTATAAATGAATCTACCGACGTGAACTCTTTGCTTTGTCGGACAACACTCATCGCGCGATGGGCTGGTGGTAACCTGGGTCGTTGCCCAGCGAACTTGACTTGATCTAAAGTACGCACACTATTTGAAAGAGTCCGTCGCGAATTGGGAACGTCTCCTTGGTGTTTTCAACAAACGAGCTCTCCACATCGCATGTGTGGGGTAGTGGTAACCTGGGTCGTTGCCAAAGGCGAACCTTAAGCTCGTCGACCCGCCGGGAGTTCGATTCTCTCCGCACGCATTCTTTTTGATGTCGCAGCCCACGCCTAGGGCTCGGGTGGGCTCGCGCTACTCGCCTGGGTGCCGTTGACACGGCGGGACGGACGGGTCCTCATGGTCGCTGCGCCAGCCGCTGATACGGCGGGGGAATCGAACCCCACGAACAGCTCCTCGGCGCAGAACAGGGTGTTCTCCACTCTTTTTCTCTCTCTCTGGTCTGTTTTTTAAGAAAAAATATCAAAATCATCGACCTGGACTTGACTGACCTTTCAATAAGCAGGTCGTGACCTGCAAACTTTCGACTCCCTAGTCTCGTAAACAAGAACTTTATATACTTTTTTGTGAAGACAGTTCACACGTATATAAACGACTCCCGGGCTTGGCCATGGATGCGATTTTCCTTGGATTTTCCTGTCTCCAGCTTCTGAAGACCTTTTCCCTCAAAATCTTCGTCCAATTCAAGGCTCGACGTCTGGCTTCCTGCGTCTGCAACTCTGGGGGCAGGCAGGGCCCAGTTCGAGATGCAGGCGGCCTGCTGCATCAGATCATCAACTCGAGCCACGCACACGGCAAATCCCGAAGTTCCGAGGTGGCTAAAAATGTATCCAAAAGCTCAAGTTCTGGTTTCACAAATGGTATACTAGAAAGCAAATCAGATACTATAAGTTTTGGTTTGCATTTTGTCCCTTCTGATATTGAACCCAAAATTAGTAGTTTTGGCATCGGCTTCTGGAGCCTCTAAAACAATAGGTTTCGGATACACTTTCCGGCGGCACCGGAAATTACTAATCTTGTACCCCCGGAAACCTAATCTAGAGCGGTCTAGAGCGGTCTAGATTTGGTTTTGGACCACCCTAAACCTATTGTTTTTGATTCTGTTTTGGCCAGCACCCTAAACTTATTGTTTCTGGGCTTCCAAAACGGAAGCCAAAACTACTACTTTCTGTTTCAGCATCAGATGGGATGAAATGGAACCCAAAACTTGTAGTTTTAGGTACACTTTTCTACACAATTATTTTGAACCAGAGACTAATACTTTCAGATTACATTTTCGGTGTCCCGGAACCTCGGATTTTGCCGTGTGACGCTGAGCCACGACTTACCTCTTAACTTCATCATTGCGTGCACCTTGGCTCGCAGTTTCCTCATGTTTCCTCGTGCGATAGCATAAAATGCGCATAACATAGCGTGTCCATACAGTGAGTACATATTACTAGGCGGATGACCCACGATCCATCCTTCATTCCCGGTCCAAAAACGTTCCCGTCGCTGGGTCCATCACGCGCGTTGGCATACCCCGGACCTGGGACGAGGAAGGGCTCGCGAACGCCGACCCAAGACCGTGCCCGTCAGGATCGGCAGCCGCGCCGGGGAACGAATCCTCCTGTTCAATGATCAAAGTTCCCGTCCGCGTGAGCCGCGCCATCCCTCGGTGGGCCGCGAGCTCGCTGTCGCGCACCCAGCGCGCTCTCGCCTCGTCTTCCTCCGTTGGTTTGGGGTACCGCCCGCCCCGGTCCACGCCCTTCCCCTTCCTCGGTGTGTCGAGGACGCCGGGGGGGAAGCGCTCGGATTGCGAGTGCACGGGCGTGAGCAAGGCGCGGCCCGGGCGGACGGTGTATTGGGGCACCCCGAACGCCGTTATGCGAACCATTGGCGCGGGGTCGCGCTCTTCGTCGTCGTCCTCCTCTTCGGCTATCGCGGACAGATTTGTCTCGTTCGCGTCGATTGTGGCTGGCTCAGCGTCGGAGACTGTGGACGAGGTGCGAGTCAGCGTCGTCACGGACGACAGGGACCCCCACGAGTCCACTCGCTTCCCTGTATTGTTGGTGGTGTTGGCCGCTGGGGGCGCGGGCTGAACGGCGGCCGGGGCGGCTGCTGCTGCCTTTGCCTTCGCTGCTTGTAGGCGGGTTTGCATCTTGTCGGAGTGGTGGATGGTGGTGGCTCAAGGTATGGATCTACAGTTTACTCTGACTGTGCTTATATATACTTCAGCAAGTGCTTTGACCTTGAAAGAGGGTGGCGCGCGATACGCGGCCCTTGGTCTTTATAACCAAAGAGTCATTTAGGAGGCTGTGCTGACCTTCCGCATTTGGACATTTGGTGGGTGGAGGCGGCGTCGGTCCCGACGGCGTTGGGCGCCTTTTTGCACTCAGTGCCCGTCTCGGCGAACCCATCCTGTCAAGCTGCGGTCAATATCCGACTTTCACTCGAGTGGCTGGCGGACTCGAAATCTATCGGTCAATCGCGATTTCGGGGATTGGTGGCAGGTGCTCGACGGAGCTTGGTTGGGTTGGGCCTTCCAAGGCGGCTTCTCATTGGCTGCCAAAGCGGTTGAAGCAGCATCGTCCGAATCAGGCGTGCCGCGATCAGTGGCCTCGGTGAGTGCTCAAACACCTGCCTAATCCGGTAATAAAAGTTGACGATTGGTGTTGAGGATGGGGCGCAATAGGGTAAACAATGGGGAATCAGGCGTCGCCCGGAAATGCATAAGTAGGCGCAACTTCTATGCACATGCACCCTCATCGAATCCACTGCCACCCGACGATAACTACGCTCGCGGCGCAAACGCCAGCGTACATCAAGAAACAACCCTCCCACACCAGCCTCACCGCATGTTTTCCTTCTTTGCGCATGTCGGCCTCTTGAATCTTCCCTGGGTCACCGCCCCCTGCGAGCGTAAACCGCGCAACCACCACCCCAAACACAACAAGGGCCGCTCTGGCCTCGAGAAGGAACAGCTGTTCTGGAACGGAACCCCCTCGTCCACGTCCTCTCGCACTTCATCGCGCTACAGCTCTTCCTCCTCCACATCCACTTCGTCGCGCAAGTCCGTGGCTCCCCGCGCCGTCACACCCCCGCCGATCCCGGGCTTCGAAGCTAGCGCTAACGAGGTCCAGGGCTTGGAGGACCAGTGGTTTAATATGACCATGCAACTCAACATTTTACGCGCCTGCCATGCGCCGACACCCGAGGAGGATGACTGCGTAGATGGCAACTTGATGGATATGGAGCTGGACATGATCGATGCCGGGTGCCGGGAGCCTTGCGACGAGTCGTGGGGGGGCCGCCAGCATGTCCGCGACCGCGCGAGCCTCTTCCTCATGCCGACCCAGTCGCCTCGGGTCTTCTACACCCCCGACCATCTGCCGATCGCCGCCCCACGCCCTCATCGGCGTGGCCCTACCTCCCACATCTTCGGCACGCAGCCTGAGCCCATCGCCCTTCAACGCGTGGCGCCCAGTGTCGCCGTCAAGAAGCGCCGACGTGTCCGCAAGGAGGTCGAGTCGGTGCGCGACGACAGGAAGGTCCTCCGGCGCGCACGCCGGGTGGGCAATCATCGATGGGAGGAATACAACGAGAAGTGGGCTGCCGCGCTCGTCGTGGACGCCGCCGGGCGTCCTACCCTCAAGTTCACCGACATCCCGTGGCCCGTGCTGCAAGCCCCTTTAACGGCCAGCCACATCACGCCGGTGGGAATCCACCAGTTCATGGTCGGTCTTCGGACGGACCCGGTGGAGTGGGCGGAGGCCTACAAACACCATTTGTCTGCAGAGGTCAAGCGGTGGCATCCGGACAAGTTCGATCTCATTGTCCTCCCGCTCGTCGTCCCGCATCACCGCGCAGCCGTGAAGGAGGCGGCTACCCGGGTCCTCGAGATCCTCATCCAGGCACGCGACGACAACAAGAAGGCGCGGACAGTGGGCCCATGACGTTTTTGCATCCTATGCTTATGCTTTATGCCCCCATGCCTGTCTATGCCGCCCATCTATGCCCCCTCCTCCATGCCTACATTGTCCTTCACCTTCTCTCTCTCGGATCTCTTTTCATTATTTGTATTGTATGGATCGCTGTTTGACCTGACTTATTGTCTTCGTTCTGCTAGATTATACATTTACTGTACAATATTCTCCTCTTTGTATTCTGTACTTTTCTCAATCGATTCATTAAACCGCACCTTCGGAGGTATTCGGCCTACACAACTGTTGATCACGACCACGATCACGCCTCCGCTTTCATGCCACCCAGCGACGACGAAGACAGCGACGCGCTTTCCGACGCATCCGAAGTCGAGTTCTTCCTCAGAGGAAAGGGGAAAGGCAAGGCTGCGGAGCCGGACGATGACAGACGCGCCATCGTCCAATCCTCCTTCGACGCCTACTTTGCCTTGTCTGCCGCCAGGGCCTCGACGTCTTCCAGCCTCTTCTCTGCTCTCATCCAGCCGCTTTCTGCTGAGGAATACGCTGAATCTATCGCTGTGGACTCCCTTGGGTCGAAGCACCTGCAGTCACGCATCTTGTTTGAGCCCGCGCGCTCGGCACTCTTTTCCCAGCTACAATGCGAGCTGAACGAGGGATTCAATCTGGTCTGCTACGGATTTGGATCGAAACGAAGTCTCTTAAACCAGTTCGCGTCCTCGCGATGCTCTAAAGCAGGGCATGTCGTTGTCGTGAATGGGTTCCACCCTGAGCTGTCGCTCAAGGACGTCCTCAGCTCTATCGAGAGTATCCCAGGGATAACAGCGCTTCCACTTGCATCGAGCACAGCCGAGGGCCAGGCCCGACGAATATACGACTTCTTCTCCCGGTCGCTGAAGCAGCGGCACCTCTATCTTGTTGTCCACAACATCGACTCCTTTCTGGTGCGCATTTCGAAAGCAAAAGCGTGTCTTTCACTACTGGCCCTCCACCCCCACATCCACCTCATCGCGTCCGTCGACCACATCAACTCCCCGCTGCTGTGGTCGTCCTCAGAGGTCTATGCCCGCACGGACGGGTTCGTCGCCCCGGACAAGACGCCCCAACGCGGGTTTGCCTGGTTGTGGCACGACCTAACTACGCTGGCGCCCTACGACTTTGAGCTCGCCTTCGCGGACCGCACCTCTATTACCGGGGCCCACGCGCGCAAGCAGCGTGATGCCGCGGCCGTCCCCGGCGCCACGGCGATGTCCCAGACGGCCGCGCAGCACATCCTGGCGTCGGTGACCGAGCGCGCGCAGAAGCTCTTCAAGCTCATGGGCCAGCG